ATCAGTTTTAACCAATATCAAGCTCCGGTTTTCCTTCAACCCTAAGAGTTTCTACAAAACTTCTTTTCTATGCTAATTAGTGATACGGAAGCAGAATTGAAATTTCTCGGTACAATATTGTCCAGCACTATGATCGTCACGAGAATTTTGTTCTTATCTATACGCAGTTAATGTAAGAAGTATTCGTATAGCAACTAATTTCAAATAAAAATTATTAAGAAAAGAAATAAGAGGTTAACATTAAGAGTAATAAACTTTAATTTACGCAAAATCTACTCTAAAAATATGTAGGAACGTCGGGTAATTATTTCTTCTTCTAAAATTCATTAATAAAATAAATATATGAAATTTTATTTTGAATTGGTTCCTGTACTAATACTTCTTACACAGACTGTATATCAAAATAAAAGTCCTGACTCATTGACTCATCAACGGCCAGGCTAAATCCTTGAACCTAGAAAGCTGAAATTTCGCACAGAGGTTTCCTTTATGATGTATACAAGAATTTTTCGAAATTCAACCCCTAAGGAGCTAAAAAGGGGTTGCAACGTTTCTATGAGGAATATTTTATTTGTGGTCAAATTTGATTTAAATTCGGTCCCAATGCTCTTTGATATAATTAATGAAACACACATTTCGGCATTTAAAAGAATTCAACCCCTGAAGGGCTGAAAAAGTGTCTTGATACGATTTATACAATTGTTTTGCTTTAACGTTTCCTTATTTCCGTAAATGTATCAACTACAAACTTTTAATTTAACATTTAAGTACGTAATATAGAATAAGAATAATATCCTACACGGTTGAAACCGTGGGGCACAGCTAGTTAATAAATAAATCGGAAATAAATCTGACTCAAAAGACACGGGCACCTGGATCGTCCCATTTGGCCGCGGTTTGGCGTTGATCCTATCGCGAGGGTTGAGAATGGTCGATATATAAGACAAATCGACCCTTTTCGACCCTCTTAATGGGGTTTTAGACCATTCTGAAGCTCGTTTAGTCAGGTTTTAAATCCTCGACTCTCAGCTACTAAATGAGAATCAACGATCCACAGGACACTTAAACAGCCAATGTATATGCAATGTATATCCATTCGAATATTGTATATTGTATGTACTACATATGTACATGTCACCATGAATTGTGTACACAGATGACATAAAGTGTATGCGCAAATATAATCGAAATAACGAACATTAAACATTTTATTCCGTCAACAGTATATCTCGGCCATTAAATATCCCTTTCAAAATAACAAATGTTTTTTACACGTTTCTTTGATCTGCATTAACAAATGTACATTTCACGTGCAGCATGGTATACGCAAATCATGTACGTAAGATGCATATTTGAAATATTATATAATTTATGTACATTTAACCTACTATGTATAATAGATTTAAATGTCATGTACAGGGAAGCATGCACGATAACGAATAAAATACGAATAAAATTGAAAAATGTACGTACATATTCTATACTATAATCTATGTTTAAATCGTGCTCATAAAATGTGTCCCTCAATGACATCCCACGTGTAGGTCATTATTTTCGCGTTATGGATAAAAGATTCCCATATATAGAAAACCGAATGCAACATGGAGAGTCTCTCGCGACGAAGAGAAAAATATTTATGAGACCGACTCCTGGTCACGGATGCAAGTTTGATCCGCAGTTGAGTCCGAAGGTTGAGAAACGCTCGTACAAACGATTCGCCCTGTATTGTATGCGTCGGCGTTGGCTGCACGACGCGCAATGCACCGGAACGCGAAATCGAATGCAGACGCGCGTTTATGCAGATCAAAAGGGGTGTACTCTACCCCCTACAATTTCTGCGGCACGGACAGTTGCGTGCGCTAATCGAAAGGGCAGAGTTCGCGTCTCCTAGATGCACGGGGTCGAGTAGCAACAACTAGTGGCAAGAAGCTTGTTAAATAGGTCGAAACCTCGAGCGGGATTGTCGGTGTCTCTTGGTCGCATGGAACGAGGGAAAGAGTTTAATGGGCTCGGAACAGCTACGCTAATAGGTACGCACTGCTTTGCGCCGAAAGTGCTTTGAATAAGTTTCGGTCACCCAAAACGCTGACTTAGGAAAACTTAATTGCGCTTATCATCTTTTCCTCTTTGGTTTGTTTTATTCCCTCAAACCTGCTCGTGCATTATATCGTGGACTTAATGAGTTTCTTTGTATCATATAGAATATGAATGTAATATATTATTAATATGTATTTGTTATTATATATACAGTCGGTGTAATAAGTATTCGTACAGGGACCAATTGAAAAAAAAGAAACTTCATATCTTTATTATATTATATTAATAAATTTCAGAGGGAAATAAAAATAATTAACCAACATTCCTACATATTTTTGGAGTTGATTTCTCATTAATTAAAGTTTATCTTTAAATAATTTTAAATTGTTTGCTGTACAAACACTTCCTACACTGACTGTATATATATTATGATGAATACAATATATGAATATACAGAATTGATATAGAATAAATCATTTCATTAAAGTAATAAATGAAAAATCACACGAAATAATTTCGCAGAGAAACGAACGGGTATTTATTTTTTCATTGGAGGTAGGTTTCCAACTATCCAGCTACATTTTTAATGAATTTCCACACACTCGAGTAAAGTTTCTCGTTACTTCTCGATCTACTTTTCGACGATGCAGTATTTAAGGTTTGTGGCTGTATAGTTACTTTATTCATTTTGCGATCGCTTTTCAAACAATTGCAATCTTTTTCACTTAATTGTTTCTCGAGCTTCGATAAATGTGTGCTTTCTAGTTGGGATATAAGCACCCCGTTTATGTTAATATTCGGCTACGTTTTGTCAATTTTAGTATCTTTCCTGTACTTTCGCCTAACAACGCAAAAAAACGATATTGCAGTGCCTTTGGGAGCCCGATTAGTCGCAGTTGCGAAGTTGTTCCAGTAGTTGATTATTCTGAAAAGCTTTTCTGGCTGCGAGCAGCTTTGCCAGAACTGCATAGAAGCTGAAATTTAGTAACAAGAGAGCGGCACGCGTAGAATTAGTTTGCAGAACGCGACCTTTTGAACGAACGATTAACAGATGGCAGAAAATTCGAGCAGGAAGCCGTTTTACCCTAAGTACCTAGCGTCGACACACATCAAATATACTTTGCGGCTAAATTGTCGTTTATTTAACGAGTATCAGGTTTCACTTATCATTTGCCTTTCTATTTTCAATAAAAAACATTTTATATTACAATTTCAATCTTAACAATTCTGTAAGTAGACATTCGTAGAATTAATTTATTTCTTGCAATGGGAAGCACTTGTAAATTTATGATCGTGGAAATAAGTAAAGAATTAATGAAAGTTCGTTCGATAATTTAATACAAGTGACATATTTTCATGATCACAATATACATATACTTGCAGAATGTTTGTGAATTAAAAATGTTCATACAAGTCAGAATTACTTGTACTGTAGGTATTATTACTAGAGGAATTTTTAATTATTCGCAACACATTTATTGCAAAATAATTCTCGAAATATGTAGCGTATCTGTGTTTCCAAATTCGATTTCGAAAAGTCTGTAGCAACGTTTATAAGAAAATTGATAAGACGTCTCGCAGAAATTTCAGATACTGTCTAGAATAATGGAGAATTCTTGTTGAGGAGTAAAACTGAATTAGTAAATACACTTTCTTTCATACGAGTTTTAACTTTCAAGAAAAGCCTTCGAAGGAGGTCGGACGAGTTTACTTAAGTTTTATTTTAGATGAGCACGTGTATTCGCCACGTACTCAGGTATAAGATTGTAAAAGTTGTTTTTTATTCGTCCGCTCTTTCCCTGAGCATTCTACTTTTAAAAATTCTTTTCTCTTCCGAAAAACAGTCGCGTGGAAAACAGTTGCGTTCTGTATTTTTAGATCAAGAGGGTTAACCCTTACGTCGTGATTACCATAAACTAACCCGTTTACTAAAATAGAACATTCCGTCTTACAAATAGAATGCCTCGTGCATTTACACGACGAACATTTTAAATTCCCAACATTCACGGTTGAAATGTCACGTGAAAGCTAAACATTCCCGAAAGAAGCTTCGTAGTTCCATGCAGGAATAATTTAACAGGAGGGAATACAACAACGACGACGCCTTCTATCTTCCAGTCGATTTTAAAGAACCCCGAGAACGCAAAGTCGGATAATAGCTTCCAAGTCTTTGACCCGGTTCCTCCGTGGCGGAATTAATCGTTAGACCTCCGTCGTCGGAATAAACTAACCACGAAACAGCGGCTGCCAAGAGATGTTGAATAAGCCATTTGGTAACGGCACGAGGCCGGCGAAATTGACGTTCTTCCTCGGCTGATGGCTATTTATTTGGCCGGCTGTATTCTTTTCGCGTAGCATTTTCTGCCATCGCTCGTTAGATCTCGCATCGAAGACAGGAGAACGTGATCGACGTGTGCTCGTTTGCAGAGATTCCCAATCGGGCCTGCTCATTTTTCAAATAATATGCCAAACAACAGGTTACTTTTTCTAATTGTGCATACATTTCTTTAAAGGCATCGCTCACGTTACTGTATATTTATTAGAAATTATTAGGGGGGCCAGAAAGTAATGTCGTTTCTGCGAGTATCAATACTTGTTTGTTATTTATCAGTTCACTGTGTGTTTATCAACTCACTAATTGATTTTTATAACGAGAACAATTATACAATTCATTCAAAATAAAAATATATTAGAAATTTATTTGTTTGAATTCGATGTAAAAGAAACTTTACTTTCTGGTTCTCCTAATAGTTAGAATGTCTCCTAGTTGTATTCTGAATGTTCATATACTCTACGTAAATGTATACGCATTGTTAATATGCACAGCAATGTACAGGATTCTATAAAGTTGAAAAAAGTAATAGGGTTATTTGATTTCAGTTTACTTATTATAGTTCTGTGCATAAAAGAATACCGGTTAAGTGGCAAAAAGATCATTGGTTTATAATTTAGTAATTACAGTAATAAACACCAGATTGAGTACCCTTTGAGGTGTAGGTGATGTTCCCGATCCCGATGTTCCTTTCTTGCAAACACATGATGCGACGTAATACTTGTTTACCAGAGTTTTTGTCGCAATCAATATTTATCGAGTTATGAAAGTGGTCTCAGTTACCTTCTCCGCCCTGTGCGTAACAAATGATGGAGTACGTCCACTACACCCTGTAACATCAAGATTATAAGCCATCGAACATCGCGCGATGATATGTTTTCGTTGAAAAACAGAGTGTTGATCGAGGCGCAGCCTTGACAGGTCATAAAATCAGGCCAGCAAATAGAAAAGCACGGGTTGCGCAAATTGAGTGTCTCTGGTGGAATATTGGGAATTGATTATGGACTGTATTTATGAAGAGGCCTGTCGAAATATTTAGAACGTCCACTCCATAGAAATCAAATGACGTCGGCTTAATTGAATTTACACTTACCGGCGGCGATGGTCGACGGTGGAACTGCGAGAAAATCTAAAAGTATACGCGCACGAATTTTTTCCGCGAACGATACGCGAGGCTATTATTTATCAGTCAGTTCAGCTTAACATACTACGACGTAGCAAACACGTCCAGCGCTTTAATTGACTTTGCTGTTCGAACAAGAAGTGACGCTTAATTACGGCGGCATTTCGAAGATTTTCCACGTACATGACGTCTAATTTCATGATATCTACAACAAGCGGTGCTGGCATTAACATTCTAGTAGCTGCTTATGATTTTTCAAAAATATTAATGGTATGAGAGCTTTCGAATACAATAAAAGAAACAAATTTACCGGACTTACTCGAGCTTCGATTTTATTATATTGCTTGTTTGAATTTGTTAAACTTTTTTCATTTTCGACTCTATTTATGATTGTGTTTTTTTTTTCGCAACCCAAAAGATACAAAGTAAAGGTACGTAAATATTTTGTGATAATTTATTGATTAGGTAACGATATATATACATATGAAACAATATGGTTTTAGAACTTGTTTAAAAACATACAAGAATATGATATTAAAAATTGCACAACAAGTTGTAAAATTGTATTTTTTCTAGTTACGAAAATAACAAACAAATGAATTATATGCTAGTCGACCTTTTGTTTATCGAAAGACACGATTAATCGAATAATTACCGGCCACAATCAGACCTATGACCCAGACCCAGGTTAGGATCACCAGAAATATTACGAAGTCATTGTCGTGACGTTGGTACCAGGGTTGTTTAGCTAAACTGGAGCGAAGATGAGGGGCACCCCTATGACGAATCACGTATTCCGTCCACCAAGCAAGGTGCTCTATCGAATTGTACGGAATGTCGTTAACGATGTTTTTCAGTTCGATCATTTTTTTCTTGTATCTAGAAAACACAATACAGTTGCAGTCAGCATATTGATTGTGTCATGAATATTTAAATTGTTAAAATTATATTACATGTCAAACGAAAAGAAGATGATTTAATTATGGAAAGACTGTCTCAGATCAATATGTACAGTGTGTTCCAGAATTAGTGCAAGAACCGGAAATGGGGTGTAGCTGAGACGATTCTGAACCACAATTTCTTTTGCAAAAATGTCGAATGGTGCTTCGTTTTTGAATTATTAAATAAAAACCACCAAACAATTACAGCGCCCGAGTAGCATGCTATAGCCAGCCAATCCTGGCTCGAGCCTATGTTCTCACGGCTGAGCGCGCGCTACTCAGGCGCTGCGATTGGTCGGTGGTTTTTATTTAATAATTCAAAAACCAAGCACCATCCGACATTTTTGCAAAGATAATTGTAGTTCAGAATCGTCCGAACTGCCCCAATTTCCGGTTCTTGCACTAATTCTGAGCCACCCTGTATATTGCAGTAAAATTAAATTAAAATTGTAATTAAACCGATGTTACTTACTTTTTATTATTTATAATCTCTAATATAGTTCTTTCTAACTCGTTTCTCGTTACAGTAGTAATATCCAGACGCTCCCCGACCCCAAGAGCTTTCATTCGACCAATTTGATATTCTTGATCTACTATCAATGGTAACCCCAAAACAGGTACTTCGCACTGAATAGCTTCCCCGCTGCTTTGCAATCCACCTTGGTATACGAACAGCCGGATGTTCGCGTGTGCTGCAATCCAGAAACGCCAATATTAAGAAAGTTCATGACTTCTGTCACCGTTTCGCGCAATCAAATAGAAATCCATCGTACAAAGGATACTCAGCTGGGAGAACCAAGGTGCGATATACACGTTGTCTGGTTTCGTTGGCAATTCCCTCTCGTACTTCCACACGACTCGGTAAGGCAACCTGGCGAACACGTCGAGAAAAAGCTGTACGGTTTCTGATGTTAAATGGGAGCTCATAGCGTTGCCACCCAGACTGAAGTAGACGAATCCATTTGTTGCATCGTCCACAAATTGTTTCAAATCCTGCATTCGTTGAAGTGTGCTTACAAGTTTATTTTAGAAGAGCGATTGGGAAATATTTTAAATGGCACTGCGGTGGCAGTTCTATCGAAGCGAGAGCGGGAGAGAGGAGAAAAGGAAGAGAGCGTTTCGTTCTGGATCTGGTAGCGGACTGTTCACTAAGGCTACCTAGCAGGCCCGTGCCTGAATATGAATGTTACGGGGACCGAACACTTGCGAGAAACGCACAGACGCGCGATATCCTTCTAGTTGCGAGGACAGGAGGTGCCACCACAGTACGATATAAAGGAACAATCATTTCTTATTCGATCTTTGTTAAAAAAAGAATTCTTTAAGGTGGTTCTTTCCCAACTGTACTAGTCAAGACAAAACTCAAATACAGAAAGTATTAATAACGATATATCTTCTATAATAAAATTCTTAGATTATTATTTGATTATTAACAGAGATATGATTGGAAGCGATGAAACATACCTGCGGCAGTGATTTTGGGTTTTCGTTGAAGTAGCTTGGATTGTACGAAATCATGTTTGGAAGCTTCGGTTTGGCTGCCGCGAGGCCTTCCATTTGATTGACGAACACTAGGCTAGTGTTCTTTTGTATTTCGAGCAGCGAGGGTATGTTGCCGAAGTACTCCTCGGCTATTTTCTGTTGACCAGGGTAGAAGTCGCGATAGTATACATACAAATAATGCCAAAAGGTTACATAGTTCCGTAACCTTTTCCAAAATGGCAAATCCGATCCTGTGTTAGCTTCCATTTCCCAGGTACCCTCGTGCGATGGTAGCACGAGCCCACCGAGAACGTGTTCATTTATGGCAGCTATTCCTAGCGAGGTGAAACCTGTGATCACACATCACACGCGTTATTTAATGAAATCTTTGTGGGCTCTTTTTAGTTTTTTAGTTATTTCTGTAGTTACTCGGGACAGTTGTAACAATTTTGCAATACTTAATCGTTAATGTTTAACGTTAAACGTTTGAAAATCATGGGACTATTATCAAGCTTTAGCTAAGCCTGTCGAAAAGTATACAGTTTTAACAAAGTTATAGGAATACGAGTATTTCGTTGAATGTTCTGCAAGATAAAGTCTCAAATTGATTCAGTTATTTTATTAAGTGTTAATAAAAGCTTATACTTTTAAATCGTTAACTGGGACCTTAATCCTTCCATCATTTTTTTTTAAATGCTTGCATGCTCTACTCTCACGATTATACGAACACTTCCAAATTATCGGTCTTATGCTACCATGTTCTAACGAATCCAAACACTGATTCCGAAAGAAAATAATATCACCCGTTTCTGTCTTAGAATGTTTAGATGCTCTAAACTATTTTACCAAAGTAATGAATAGTCCATGTACAGAGTGAAAAGTGATACGTACCTATTAAGGGCGCGTTAAATCTATGGGCAAAGGCGTATATAGCTGGCATAAAAAGCATTTCAGCTATGACTACGTCGAATTTTACGTCACTATTTGGCGCGTACAACTTCCGCACTTGTGTATGGTTCAGCAAACGGTGTACCAACGCGTCGCGTAGACTAGGCACATAGTCAGTCAGAAACTTCACGACTGAAACGCGATTGAATCTAACTTCAACAAAATTGATCTCGCCGTTAGCGTAGTGCGATTCCCCGATGTCAATTTGTGTGAAGTTCGTCAGATTCATGTTTGGTAGTGGATTCGAAGTAATTAGCACAATTTCGTGGCCGCGTTTGTTGAGTTCCACCCACAATGGCTTAGCGGAAATTTGGTGGCTGAAGGGAGGCATCGGGATGACTGCGAGGATCCTAGCGGACTGAAGTTGCCTCGCGACGACGAATAAATTCGCGACGAAGAGTACTGTCCTGACACTAAACTTCATGGTACTAGACTTTCGTAAGATACAGCGGACCCCGGTAATATTACTGACTAATATGGCACGAAAATATCCGTAAAATTAGTCACGAATAATGAGCTTGTTATTTAGAATTCAGGTTATCGTTGATTTACAGTCTACAGTGTCTGATAACGGAAGCTATCGAAACAGGAAATTCTAATCTCGAGGATATTTCGTGGAAATGTTGAAGTGCGCAAAAAACAAATTTTGTTTTCGCCGGAAAATTGCTACGAAAGCGTGAAATCAGTCCTTCAAGATTTTGCGTTATAACTTCGTAACGTTACAAGATGGAGAACAGATGAAAATGGAAAAATTGTACAGTTTGTTATGCTCTGTATAACTAAATGCAATTCCTCCTTATTTTTATAATTATACATTTCTAGATAGATTTGTTTATTTCAAATTGTTTAAAATTCTTATAAAAATCGTGAATACAATTTCGATTGGCAGTCCTTCAGATATCGTGTTATGGAATTATACGAATGTAACAAATGGAGCTGTTCCTAGCGTTATGAAATCGTTCGTTTAAGAAGTCCCGCGGGTTTAGCAAGAATAAACTAGGTTAGAAACTCGAGTTTGATGCAAACAGAATGATTTAGAGTTCAGAGAACGTTGCCGTAGAAGGGCTCTCCTGGCTCCCATTGCGTTGTGTTTTAGCCAGAATCCTTTAGGGATCCCCTTGGTTTCTACCTGGAATACCTTGGAATAGATTTACCTGAAAAAGTGTATTTCCCTGTTCCTTGAGAGCCCATTATACCCTGCCATCTCCAACAGCCTAACATGTATTACAATTTTTAAACTCTCATGTTTATACAATGCCATCCGAAGTAATGGACTGTGCTAAAATTACAGATGAATTTTTTTTATATCACATAGTGTTGTAATATTGTAGATATATTGCAGATATACGAAACTCTCATCGTATCAGAGATTTTCCAAAGGGAAAATGATTTGCATTTTTTTCAAGGGGCGGTTTCACCCTCTCGAACCGTATTATGCCGCTAACGTAAACTGGTTTTGTGTTACGGATGAATTACTCTACTCTCATGCAAAGTTTCGCAATTTTCTGAATTATTGGATTAATGAAAAGTCCCTTGTAAGCCTCGACTGAATATATTAGAGTTCATTACAAACTTCTACTTTAATAAAATGAATAAAAACAGTAGGTAATGAATGATTTTACCCAACCAACAAAAACTGTCATGGATTTTAAGATTCGGAATTGTATAAAGTTTTTACAATCGTTAGTAATCTTTGTTGAATTTATTATATTTATACAATAAAGCAATAAAATAATATAGAACAAACTAATCATGGATGAGTATGTTCTATTCGAGAGATATTCATTTTTCATTTCATCTTTCATCGAAATATACAAAAGAGTAATATCATAAAGTAGGATCGGGATACATAGTCTATTTGGTGAAAATTTTATTGTTCATCTTGCTTACGTTGAAGTACTTCACAAATCTGCATATCATTTTTAACGAATATGCGCATACTTGTTGAAACTTGTTGTAACCGGAACGGACAGAACTTTCCGGTAGACCTAAATTATACGCTTGGATCAGACAACTACACAATTTCTCGGTTAACAAGTCATAGAAATATTGGAATCGACAGACGAGGCATGAAATCTTCTCTTCCACTGGTGCTCGGGATTCCAATATTAGCCACTCGAATATGGATTTATGGGGATGCTCGAGGACTTCGAAACTTCTCGAGGCATCGTAAAGTTTCCTTTCTACCGCATCTCGCGTCAGCTTCTAGTAGCCATCCACATGGTTGAAGGGCCGAATACACGAGATACTTCTGGCGAGGTTCGTCCTGGAACCTCGAGTACGAAAACTGAAAAGGATGAGAGATTATTCTCGGGATGTTCCCGTCGAGGTGACTTCGACGTCGATCCTGCGAGGTCCGAGGCAATTTAATTAAGGCTGCACAATAGCAGAGATGGCAACGGTGATCGTAATAGACCATCGATGTTTGTCCGGTGAGAGGTTCATCGTTCGATGCCTTTGCGTTGCGCTTGGAAGCTTTACGTCGGAAGTGAGTCATCATCCATCGAGTTGAATTACTTATCTGTGCACACTCGCGTTCAAGATGATTGCATTTCTGCTCGAGGAGGACGTTCCGATCAAAGTGAACGTCGCTCGTTCCGAGACGCTCATGTTTTCTATTCTGGTGACGGCAATATGATATATAATTTATTTACCGAATGTTTGAAATAGTGGTTTCTTTGTAAAAATATTTTTGGTATTGTTGTAGTCTTGGCAAATTATATTAAGAACGTTTTCGACTGACATTTTGAACCTTTTCAGCATATTTATGTTAATAGTAGTAAGGAAAATGGAAAATTAAATATATTAGATGCAGGAATTCATTCTGTGACTTTATATTCATGTATTTATAACTTTAATTTAAGTAAGAATATTTACAAATCATTTTGTTGTATCACTGCACCAACCTCATGAATCTTTAAACTAATCTCCGTTACAATCGATTTGAATGCAATTTGAATTACAATGTGCAATATATTTTATTTATTATTAAAGAAGACCGACAACAAAGAATCACAATTAGCTGTGAATTACTTCAACGTAAACAAAGATAAAAAATAAAATTTTCAACAAACAGACTATGTATCCTGATTCTACTTTATGATATAACTCTATTTGTATATTTCACTGAAAGGTGAAATAAAAAAGGAGTATGTCTCGAATGGAACATACGATACAAGAACATCTGTTTCGTGTCTGATCCATGACTAGTATATTTCCCTTCCAAGCAGCGATAGTATTTAGCTATAGATTATGTAACCTCCATATGAAGAGACATTGTATATTTTTTCTACCAATTTGTTCACCAATAACATATATAACGAATGTAATTCTGACAGACAATCAACAACAAACAATTCAGAGGAGTGTATTTTAAGAGAGGGCGTCAAGGCCAAAACTAGCTACCAGTAGTTATTGAGACAAAGTTTTGAGACTTTGTACTTTTACGTAGTTTTTGACGCTGAATTCAATGGTGTAAATTAAAAATTGTTTAGTCATTTTTTAAGGAAAAAACAAGTGTATGGATTTTTTGATCCAACCTTGTTTTCAACAATGCAGAAAAAGTTGTTGAAACATTTTTTGTTTACACCATTAAATCCAGCAGCAAAAGCTACATATAAAAGTACGGAGTTTCAATATTTTGTTTTAATAACTACTGGTAGCTTGTTTTGGCCTCGGCGCGCCCCCCCCCCCCTCGTTGCAACGCCGAGGCGTGAGCAGTGTTTCGCGGAACGACGTTGCAACGCGTGTCTTCGAAGGTTTATAAACTGCAGAATTTATTTTCATGCCGTCGACTTGGTCGAATGCTGTTTAAATATTTACATCCGAAATTAAAGATATACTCCCTACTAACCTGGATGGAGCTACTTTTGCTTACTGTTCGCGTTACCGCGCGTTGACTCGCTCCGAAAACGCTCTCGTTCGAATTCACAGTCCACGATTCGTGTAAACTATTTCGCAGAAAACAGCCAACGAACTGGAAGACTCGTAAACTTGGACGTGCAAATAAATCGTCTTTTACGAGATTATTGAAAGAAAAACTACCTTACTTTCAAGCTCAAGGGACTTTCGTTTCTGTCATCGACGAACTTTCGACGGTTGAAAATTAATGTTTCAGGAGCTGTACTTGAAAACGAATATGACGTACAGTCGGCGTAGAAAATGTCCGTCTATCATCCACTCTTGAACATAGCTTCTTGAACTTCTAGCATTTGTTCTAACCTTTCATGTTTTTTAACAAGCATTCGTTAGTTCTGATCTTTTGATTGAACATTGTTTCCAGAGTAGTTTTCGAGGAGAGCTCCTTAAATCATTGTGCTTACGCTTGATGATTGTAATTTGTATAATTAGTATACTCAGTAACCCTAAATTTCGCAGATTATGAACAGATCTCGATAATAATAATAATAATAATAATAATAATAATAATAATAATAATAATAATAAATAATCTTCATGAAAGTAAATTTAATATACACTGCATACCATTTTTGTTAAGCTACCGGATTATTCGATAAAACCTTGTACTCATTATATAGTAATGAGAAATTATTATTCGGTATCATTACGGGATTAATTAAACAAAGCCAATATATGGCTTCTGTAATAAATGTAATATTTATTTTAATTCCATTAAATTCCATGCTTAGAAGATTTGCAATAATTATAAAATTAAGAGCAAATCCTGCGAAAAATTAATTACAACTTACTTTGGGTTTGTAGTGCCAAATAATGTATATTCTGTTTGTTTTGCCAACTTTCTGCAAATTTAGTCACTGTACGAGTATCCTCGTCAATTATGTAAATTTTACAAGCAACTACTTTTTCTTTGTACTACATCTATTCTGGAATTCCCCAAGGTATAGGTACATATTCATCGTTTTCAAAACATTAGGTTATATGTACATTATAGCGATAATAATTCTCGAAGTGTGAATTTCAATTATGATGTAACTATTTCATATGGTAAACCGTTGATCCTGCAATAACGCGTATTGTTTACATCAAAGTTAATATTTCCATAGCCTATATAGAGTGTGTGGATAATGTAGAAATAAATGAAGCCAGCACTACGAAACGTAATCCAATTTAATAACTTTAGTATTTAAATTAGAACGTTGAAATGTAGTACTAACTTTGATATATTCAGTAGTAATACCTTGTATTCCCTTGTAGAAAGTTCAAACGAAATTTGAGTGAAGTACTGTTTCTAAACCTGGGCTCAATAGTAATTTAATTAATTCGATAAACAAGTAGGTTATTCATTAATAAGCGATCAAATAGTAAGAAACAAATTTTTTTCCTGATTGTATACGTATACTATTAAAGAATGTTTCCGAAGGCAACGAAATGAAAAGTGCTTCACCTTTATTTAGCTTTACTGTCGGCCAGGGATAGGAAATCGTGGTGACAGATTTATTATTCTACAAGGTGAAAACACTTTCCTCGAGGACATTTCTTACGTCGCGTT